TTACTTTCTGCACTTCCATTAAATGATGATTCATCTGTTCGTTTATAGTTTATGATAATAAATTTCAATGGATCAATCAATTGACAATATATATAAATTTGTAAATATTTCAGGTATCAATTCTTCTAATTTTACTAATTTTCGTCTTCGCAAGTTACGGAGTACAGCTCTACGGTGGCAGACTTGCCCGCTGTAACGATCCGACGATAAGATCACGTGAGGATTGTGTCGGTGTCTTCATGAGACGAGTTTTTGTAACGAAAATGAAGTTAAAACCTGGTCAGAATGAGAGCTATCCGTCCATCCTAGTGCCGCGAGTCTGGGCCAACCCAAAACGCTTCAATTTTGACAACATTGGAGATGCAATGCTGACATTATTCGAGGTTTTGTCGTTCAAGGGTTGGCTGGACGTCAGGGATGTGCTCAGTAAATCTTTGGGACCTGTCCATGCTGTTTATATTCATATCTACATTTTTCTCGGATGTATGATTGGACTTACACTCTTTGTCGGTGTTGTCATTGCCAATTACTCAGAGAATAGGGGAACTGCTCTGCTCACTGTTGATCAGAGACGTTGGTGTGACTTGAAGAAGAGATTGAAAATTGCTCAGCCACTGCATCTGCCGCCCAGACCCGATGGCAAGAAATTTCGCGCTTCTATTTATGATATCACACAGAATATATCCTTCAAGAGGTTCATTGCACTGATGGTTGTCTGTAATAGTGCATTGTTGGTGGTGTCGGTGAGTTATCAATGATAAATCCATCATTCAATATTCAATTGTAACATTTCTCACCAACGAAAGTCTCAAGTTTTGCGGGCTGAGGACATATTTGCAAAATTCGACACATTTATTTGTTTGCATGGAAATCGTCAGAATTGCCATTGATTTTGAAGATCGAGGGATATTCGGCTGGATTTTAATCAAGCGCAGATTCGTATTTGAACTAACCATTTTTATTGAAACATTGAATTGATTAGAAATAAATGAGTCGCCTGCCTTGAATATTGTGCTGTAATTAGCCGAAATGTAGGCCCGAAAAATAATCATGTCAATGCACTTCCGTCACTAGTAAGAATATTTTTCTATTTATGCACCTTACCTTTTTTAATATCAATTAAAAATAGTGGAAATATTACGGATTTCTATTAACAATTACAACTATCGTAACTATTTTAATAAATAAAAATCATCAAGCAGATTTGAAAATTTTCCTAAAACATGAGATATTTTCACTTTTTTTTTAATATTATGATTTCATAATTTGATTTTTAAAAATAATAATTAAAAAACGTATCAAAGGCAATTTTGTCGATACATTACGACAAGTCGAAGAGTTTCACTGTCTGAGGAGAATAAAAAGACTGAGGCCAGACGTTGCAACAGAATTTTCTTTACCAACAATGGTCCGGCAACAAATAAATTGAATTTTTCTAAAAATTGGAATTTCGATGAAGCTCTAGTAGGATTTTTAGTGATGAACGCCTGTACCAGTAATTGCCTGTAATTTCAGTGGGTTAGTGGGGCAGCGTATCCAGAATACCTAGCGACATTCTCCATGATAATGGTCCTAATATTCGTCGTCGAAGTAATAATGAAAAATATCGCATTCACTCCACGCGGATACTGGCAATCCCGACGAAATCGTTACGATCTACTCGTGACAGTCGTCGGAGTGACGTGGATAATAATGCACTGCACGATGAAAAACGAATTGTCCTATTCGATCGGCTACATGTCAGTGATTCTGAGATTTTTCACTATAACCGGAAAGCACACGACGTTGAAGATGCTGATGTTGACAGTGGGTGTATCCGTCTGCAAGAGTTTCTTCATTATCTTCGGCATGTTTCTTCTCGTGTTTTTTTATGCTCTTGCTGGAACGATAATTTTTGGAACTGTCAAGTACGGAGAGGGAATCGGGAGAAGAGCGAATTTTGAATCACCGGTGACAGGGGTTGCGATGCTCTTCAGAATCGTCACCGGCGAGGATTGGAATAAAATCATGCACGACTGTATGATAGAGCCACCTTACTGCACACCAGCTGCCAATTATTGGGAGACTGATTGTGGAAATTTTCACGCCTCTCTCTTCTACTTCTGCACATTTTACGTTATCATCACGTATATTGTGTTGAATCTACTTGTGGGTATGGAAAATATATTAATATAATATATTAAATATATTAGCTATTCGCATGTGTCTTTCGTTTTTTATTTTTTATTTATGTCACCACGACTTCTCGCTCATTTCATTAAAAACACACTATCGTGTTAGCACACTAGTATTTTTTACCATTACTCATGCCATCATTAGATTTTTAATACAAACTTTGTGTAAAATTTACGATAAATTTCTAGTTCAGGTCCACCAAACCATTCTGGATGTTTTATTTTAAGAAATTTAAACGCGAATAATCTCAAATAATAACTTCTTTGCTCCTTGTTCCGCAAAGGAGCCTGTTACACACAGAAAACACCAACACTACTTTACACTATCTCATGCACCTTCTATGCGTGACAATGCAAAATTTTAACAATGTAGTAAAAGTTGTCAGACTCAATCTAAAAAAAAATTCAACAGATTGTTTTTCAAACATTTAGACGGTAGAAAAAAACAGCAGGTAGCACATATGCAATTGTGTATGGTAAATTTGTTTGAAAATTGTGAAAATAAGATATTAATCCTATAACTCTGGATTTTTCCATCTGTCTGCTCTAGCTATTATCATGGAGAACTTTTCTCTCTTCTATTCCAATGAGGAGGATGCACTCTTATCATACGCTGACATTCGAAACTTCCAGAATACGTGGAACGTCGTGGACATCCATCAGCGAGGTGTGATACCGGTCAGAAGGGTATTTATCAATGATTTTCATGGAACTATTCCTTTAAAAAAAATCTTCGATGACGCGTAATGATACGATAGTGCGTTTCAGGTGAAATTTATATTACGATTGCTGAAGGGTAGACTGGAAACCGATCCCCAGAAAGATAGACTGTTATTCAAATACATGTGCTACGAGCTCGAGAGACTGCACAATGGGGAGGATGTCACTTTTCATGACGTCATCAAGTGAGTTATTTGTTTTTCAACGAAACTACGTAATCCTAAGTACTCAAGTGAATAATCTACTCATTAACCATTGATGTATACGAGATCGAACGCGCGCTCCGCGCGCCGTTTGATTCCGTGGTGTTGATGATGACGTAGCCAATTGACCAATGAGAAATAGGGTTACGAGTGAAAAGTCTTACGCATGAAGTTAGCCAATCTTACTCTCGCCCAACTTAATTTTGGTGTATCACCTTTTATAGATAGGAACTACTCGGTGATATGGCAATATGACGACTCTCCCTTTAATTAATTTTCTTAACTCTAAAAATTCCTAGTTCCAACTCAATTATATCCTTCTTCCCAAACCACTCTCGGAATGACGGTCAGAACCGTAGAACTAACTTTAGACGAGTGGACCGAAATTTTTTTCAGTATCGCCACGGAAACACTGATCGAAATCACTGAGAATTGCTTGGAAATTACATCAGATTTAGTGTTAACTAGGGCTACGAAGTGGACGGATTGATGCAGGCCCCAAAGAAGAGCCTAAACATCCACCTTAATACGTCACAGAGCAATAGATGGAAGATTAAGATCTATTTATCCTCCGCCCAACCTTCCTCCGGCATATTTCTTAAATTTATTTAATTTAGCTGATAATAGAAATTATCAATTCATTGAAAACGACTTGAGGTTGTTGTATCGTAAATAGAAAAACCTAGAATATATATCGTAGGAGGGAATACAGAAAAAAAATCAAATCGATTGGCCATTTGGTTTACGCGATATAATTATCGAAAATCCATAAATTTATATAAATGAAAATAAATAATATGGAAAATATATAGTTATGCTTTACCTATCCATACACAATTCCATCAATCAAGTGCGACTAGATACCGTGAAAAGATTGTGTTCTAAACTGGTCCGTTTTACAGCGGATAAACTTTTTGCAGAAACTATCGCGATACAACAACCTAAGCCACGATGGTCTTTAAACCTATAAATATAAGTGGGAAGGCTCGTTGAACTCAAATGAAGGTACAATGAAAGCCTCGTTCCGGAAGTACAGTTCCACTGAAATTCATATTTATTTTTACTCCTTAAATTCATGCCAATAACTTCGAGATAATTACAATAAATGGGAAGAAATTTATTGAAATTATTTCGATACATATGCAGTCACGCTAAGCACTTTTTTCCGAATTTTTTTTTTTGAAATCATCTTTCAGAAATTGTAGAATGATCATCGAAATCATGTACGACATTGGAAGCGGAATATCCTATGATTACGTACAAATATACTTGATTGAATCTTTTTTTGTGCCGCATTAAAATTTTCGTTAAAAAACCAATATTTTGATTTCAGTATGTTATCATACCGCTCGGTAGAAATCCGAAAAGCACTACAACTTGAGGAGTTATTGGCTCGTGAGGAGTTCGAGTACATAATCGAAGAGGAAGTGGCGAAGCAGACGATTCGAACGTGGCTGGAAGGGTGTCTCAAGAAAATTCGAGCAACTGGAGTAAATATAGTTATCCTATTATTCATTCATGCACACTGAAAAAACAACAATTGTTGCCAAAGATTTATTCATTTGAGAGAACTGTATATTTTAATAATCTTCTTAAAAATCTTCTTCCTCCAGGTGACCGCGACTAATAATGTTGAGACCGAACACGCGCTTCGCGTGCGTCATTTAATTCCGTTGTGTTGATTATGATATGATTATATTATGATATAGCCAATAGTGGAAGGAGAAGTTGTGTGGTGTATAGATACTTGATAGCTATCGCTGGTCTTTCGCGTATGAAACGTGTACTTGGCCGATACGCTACCGCGTATCTCGATTAACCAATACGAAAGGAATTTTATTCGGAATGGCCAATGAGAAATAGGGTTACGCGTGAAAAGTATTACGCATGAAGTTAGCCGAAATCTTACTCTCGACACCTTAATTTTGGCGTATCAACCTTTTATAGATATGAATAATGGCAGTCATATTGCTGTAGTAGATTATGCTCGTTGAGGCCTTGAATATGTTCGACCAATAATTGTCAATATTGAAGAATTCCGTCAATTAATTCTCCTCAAAAATTTAATTGTTGAAATCCTCTGTTACTACTTAATTACTCAATTAGAGAAATGAGGTTTTGACATAAGTGGCACAAAAAATTGTTATCCTAAGTGCATTGATTTGGGCCTCGATTATTACGGAATCATTGAATTAATTTCAGAAACAACAGAATAATCTCATTGCGGGTCTCAGAGCCACCAATGACCTGGCAGTAACTCCTCAGGATCATCCGGAGGAGAAGAGCAAAGAGAACAGCGTAGATCGGGAGGAAGAATCAGGAGCTAAAGAGACCGATGGCTCGAGGAATCGAGGAGGGAAGAGACCAGTTGTATTACCCAGATCAGATAGCATTGGTAGCAGTTCAGGGAGAAAGTATCTAGCACCGACATTATCAGATCCTGCCTCCGTCCGCAGTGAGAAGGAGAAACTCGCTGCCACTAAAAAACGTAGTAGCCGGCCAGCACGTATGTATTCTAGAATTTTAACAAAATATTCGAGAACACACTATTGTTTTTGCCAGATATTCAGTGTAATTCATGAGAAACGTAAAGGCTTCCTATAAGATACCTTAGAGACAATAGAAAAGTTGATGGCAGAAGCTTTGAGAAATTAAAATTAGATCCGCTCCAAAGGGATGCCTCTCTCATTGTGGCTAAATTTAATGAAATTTTCATTCCTTAATATTAATTTTTTCGAGTAATTAGCATTCACAACCCCTCCAAAGGTAATCTTGTCATCGCTGATCTTCTCAGTTTTCAGGTTTTGTTTACAAACTTTTGATAAATGCTTGATAAAATTGACGCCAAAAAATAAGCCACATTGACGATTTCATATTATTCAATGACGCACGAACTTTCATCACCCTGGATGACTTTTCCTACGTTCTCAGTAAGCTGTTGCAAAAAATTCTCAAAACTTTATCAATAATTTTCAAAACTAGACGCACCACTATCAAAATTTGTGAGTCATTGAGCAATAAAAAAAAATAAAACCAAGAACCACGATTTCCTGTGGTGAAGATTTGTTTTTCGGTACCACAAATTCACTGATTTTTTTTTTTTAAATAAATAATCGGGTCCAAGTCGGAAGAAGCGAGATTTTTTACTTTTTCATGATGAAATCTCATGGAACGTGATATACAAAAAATATATAGCCTTGGTAATTAAATCGGTGATAAAGAAACGAAAATTAAAAAAAAATCTAAATCGCTTAATATTTACACGAGTCACGCTCTTAAAAGCTGAAAAAAATGAAAGAAATCGTAGTAGATTCCTGGTATCGTCAAAAAACCTTGAAAAAAATTGAATAGTCATCTAATGACGTGTACAATATGTAAAAAAATCGGCGATACAATTGAAGAAGGTAAAGTTTTGAACCTCGTTGAGTTCACTCACAATACCTATATGCACTTTATCAGTTCTCTTCATCGATATCAATTAAACCCAAATTTTTAAAAACCACTATGAGATATTGATATTTTTTCAAAAAATCGTCCATCAACCATTTCTTAAAAAGTTGGCATTGAAAGACATTTAGCCATGACTTCTTCTTCTCCCTTATTAGCCAGACACTCTAGCGACTTGATAAGATTTTATCTGTAGTCTCCTGATTGTATCGCATTATCATGGAAAAGATACCATCCGTCGTAGAATGACATATTTTTTTGAGACTTTGTGTTCCCACTTGTTTTCGACGTAATGGAATAATTAGTACAAATAACAATTTAATGACCGCACACTGGCTTTACTCGGAGTGATCAAGTACGGAAATGGTGATAAAATGATAAAATCCGGTCACTAATTTGTTAGAAAACTCGAAAACCCAGTAATTTCACTTAAAAGGG